ATGAGAAATACAGACTATTTCTCATAAAATATTACCATTTTCTCGACGAATTCATCGTTACTAGGCAAATTCAGAGGTTGTAGATCGCATCCACTGGAATACTCTCGCTTTTATGTATACTTTTATACAGTCAATAAAGTGCGCCCTCTCTAATGAGATTACTTTTTGTACTTCGCATCTCGCACAATGCGGTCGTTCGGTTAAAGCTGAGACATGTTTGTTTAAGTGTCAAAATCTCAGTCAGAATCAGTTTTTTTTAACAAATTTGAAATAATTCCTATGAATTATTATATTTCACAAGTGTCAATACTAGCAACGGAAAATATCATGTCGGCCGTTTTTATGTGTGATAACAGAACCTAAATCGAGGTATGGCTAGGCCTAGCCTAGCAGCGCTGGATAGGCTAATGTTTTCGGCGCCTACGATATTTCTTCTCACGACCTATCGCAAAATCAAAACGAAAAATTCATCCGCATTTATTTTTTGTGTGGAAAAAATCAAATTTCAGTCTTATTTTACATTTTTTTAATTATTAGGAATGTCTAAATTCAGTTAAACTAGCAATTCCGTATTATATTTATAAATCTTTATAACATTATACAAAAATTAGATTTTTCTTAAAAACTGAAATTTTACCGGGAATGGGGCTTTAATGTTAATTGATTCTTGTTGAAAATTTGATGCGAGATACTTATTGATTTTATTTGCAATTTCTGTATGGTTGTCAGGATCCACATTAGGGACACTAATATTTACATTACGAGTGCTCATATTGGCAAGGAATTTTACCTGTCTGTGCCACCTACCCGGTTCAGTTTTTTTTTGGAGATAGGAATAATTAAGATAAATAAGTAAATAAATAAATAATGATGACACTAACTACCATAATGAAAATAGTAATAAATAAATAAATAAATAAATAAACTTGTTCAATGCTTTGTTCCCATTTCAACATCTTGTGTATTTAGTCTACTTAAGACGTTCGCAGGCTACCGTATCACATGAAATGGTGTTTTAGTCTGAAAAAAGTCAATATAGTAGGACTAGACATTTTTTAAGGTTTTCATGGAATTTTGGTGCCGATTAACGAACGTATTAATAATAATATGTTAGCCTAGTGAACAAACAACTTTGATGGATATCATATTTGATGTGGAAAATCATGTTATTGTTGCGTCAGGGCACGATTATGAGGCCAGAGGCTTTTGTATATCAATTTGACTGTGCCTTGCGAATTAACGTTCACTACAACTTTAATCTGAATTAGCATTCTTAAATAAAAACGACCAATAATTGACTCTTTACTTTACTGTCTCTCGACGTATCGTGCCACCCGCATGTCTTCGAACGAAGGTAAATACTGTCTGCTTATTTTGTGTTTTGTCATGAGCTATGTTTTAGTAAGCCGTCGTTGAAAATTATTTTTTTTGCGTACGCCTCGTTGTTTTGAGGTCTTCACAAATTGCATCGGGGCAGAGTCCGACCTGGGTACACTACTATATTTGAAATGATACTTATGCCAAGCCTATTTACGAGGTTGTGATAATTGCGGGAATTCGTTTGTGCAAAAGGTCTGGGGTTGGAATTCCTTGTGGTGCATTTTTCCTATAACAATAAATAAGACACGCTAAATTTTTTCTCTCTTCACCCATGATTATGGTTACCTAGCTGGGTGGTGGATGTTTAATGTATTTTAGGTCTGTCCAGCTTCCCAGGAAGCGGAGGAGAATTCATTTTGTGCATGTTTGACACGGATCCAACGGCCTGGATAAAATGCGTGCTGCAATCACTTTGATACATAATTACTGTATTTTTGAAAGACTCCATATCGGACGAATTCCTAAGCAATATTATATCTTCATTAATACAGACACTTACTGATTTATCATCATACGTTTATTTTTCTTAGATATCAAGAAAATGGGACAATGCTGTTGCTGTTGTTATTACATTCCTCGTCATCAGGCTTTAAGCGAAACAGATTCATTCGCCACTTTAACATCGTCCACGGGAAGTAACACGCAAAAGAATCCACTGTCAGATACAAAGAAAAGCGAACGAGTATGGTTCTGGGTGTCGAAGGCCGACACCACAGAAGATAAGAAGGCTCCACCAAGTAAGCTATTTAAAAACCCTAATACATATTATATCCAGCTATTCTTTGCAAATCATTGTTGTTTTTCAGTATTTTGTCTTTTAATTATATATGTATATATACATATATATACATATATATATATATACACAT